TCCAGAGCTGCCATCTCCTCAGTCAGGTTTTTCACCTACAAATATATGCATGTTTTAAAATTTGGAAGTAAACATGTTCACTGGTTTTATGTTTGATTTATATTTTGGATGCTCAGAGGCGCACAGCTGAAGATTTTCAAAAGTCAACATGTCTTTTGGTAAGTTGCCTTTTACTCCGAGTCTGTAATTTCATGACCCTTTATGTGACTGCCAATGTGAGTACCTTGTTTTCAGTGGCATGTTTTTCCTTCTCCACCTTGGCCAGTGTTAGCTCAAGGTCATCAATATCTTTCTTCAGCTCTGAACATTCATCCTCCAGCTTCCTCTTCTTGGCTGTCAACTCAGCATTAATTTCCTCTTCATCCTCAGCCCTTTCAGTCACCTCCTTGACTTTGGCTTCCAGCTGGATTTTGGTTTTGATGAGCTGGTCACACCTTTCCTCAGCATCAGCCAAAGCATCAGCTTCCTGGTGGGAAAATCCAGAAAATACTATTTAGTACTGAAGGAAGCTATGGGAATTGCCAAGACTTTCAAATTACTTTCAGGGAAAAACACACTGTGCAATTACCTTGGAAACTACAAATCTAGAAATGGTTTTAGTTAGTTTTTTTGTTGGACCTTTTGCATCTTTAGTACAGCTCTTTTTAGCTACATTTCTTTTCAACCTATTTATTTTGGGTATATAAGAAAGTCACTTAGATTTAACTGATGTTTTCATTTTCTCCTTTAGAAAGTGGTTGTGTCTTATTATACAATACTCAGATTTATGTGGAAGTGTTGAGAAATGTGAGTACCTCTGCCTCCAAGGAAATATTTGAAACTCCATTTAGTAGCTTTGTACTCAGCCATTGGTGTCAGTGGACAATAGAATGAGATTCATCATTCCCTGAAACAGACATTTCAGCTCCAGAGTATTGCCAAAATATTTTTTATGGTTGTGGGAGGCCAAAAGACATTGGAGACAGACATATAGTGATGATGCTTGTATTGTAAGTTGTTATGGATATCTCTGTTTTCTGGAAGTAGTAGCTGCAGGAGTTGAGATGACATCTGCTATAAGAAATTGTAAACAGCTCTTCGTTTTGATGAAAGTTAAGGCAGAGTAGTAGATCAGTCAAGCTACTGTCTCTGCTCCACTAGATAAACTACAGTGACCACAATAAGGCTTTATGTCTCACATAATGTCTCTCAAATAGCTTTATGAACTCACACAGACACATGTAGTTATGAAGACTAAAAGCTCATACTTTTAAAATTACAGCTCGCAACAGTAAGATTGCATGAAGAAAGAATGTGGTCTTTAGTTACATGGTATTAGGCTGAAAGTATTTTAGAAGGCTTTATATATAATTTGAGAGTGTATTAAGAAAGGAGTGTTAGATCATATTTACTTATAAAAGTATAGAAATATGTTACTCACAGCCTGCACTTGGAGCTGTAGGTCATTCTTCTCCTTCATCAGTGAGGCCATTTTCTCCTCCATCTCCTTCCGCTTTGCCTCAGACTTTGCAAGTTCTTCCTTGGTTTTCTCAAATTCTTCCTTCATGTTGGCCATCTCCTTCTCAGACTCTGCACTCTTCAGCAAGGGCTTGATCTTGAAGAACAGCTTCATCCATGGCCAGTGTTTGACATTCATGAACGCACGAATGTTGTACTGGATGCAGAAGATGGATTCCCTGAGACATAATTAAAATGTACAATGAATATTCTCAGTCTGACAAGTGTCAACACTTTTCCATGAGCAAAATGACTTTAACTGAAGAAGAGGAAGGTGTACCTGCGCTCCACCATCCTCTGGTACTCCACCCTCGCCAGGAAGCCCCTGCATCTGGCCTGGGTGCGGGTGATGAGCTGTGCCAGCTTCTCATCCCTCATCTCTTCCAGGACCCCTATCAGCCCAGCTTTGAAGAACACCTTGAGAGAGGGAATATTGCAGCACATCACTGTCAGATGGAGAGAGCAAAGCCCAGGCAGGCAGTGAATGGGGGTGTTTGTACCTTGGTGTGTCCAAATTTGTACTGGGTGTGATCCACATCGATTGAACTAAGAAGCTTCTCAGAAGCCTTCTTGCTATCGATGAACTGTCCCTCAGGGATGGCACTGGCATTAAGCACCTTGTATCTGTGAAATCGGAGGAAATAGGAGGAAGACAGTGTCCAGTCATAAGAACATTCTCTTTACTGAAACCAAGAGCAGTGTTTGCAGCAGAACCAGGCTGAGGAAGTTGGAATTTCATCTCTCCATACCTAAAGACCCTGGTAAAGCTCGGTTGTGTGACGGAGAGCAGTTGGTAAGGACACCTGACTTATCTCTTCATTTCATAGCTCTCACCTCTGTTTGAAGTCAGCATAGAGGACTCTGCTGGGGAACCCTTTCCTGCAGATCCTGATCCCTTCCAGCACGCCGTTACAGCGCAGCTGGTGCAGCACCAGCTCGTGCTCCATGGCACCTGGCAATGCAGAGCACAAATGAGGGGCACAGATTGCATTGCAGAGGGGAATGGATGTATCAGAGCAAGGATCTTTCATCTTGGGCTTCTTACCAGGTGTTTTAGTCTCATTGGGGATGATGCAGCGCACAAAGTGGGGGTGAGTGCTCCGCAGATTGGTCATCAGCTTGTTCAGATTCTCCTGTGGGATCATGCATAGTAGTTTAGATGAAGGAAATTTACTTTTGCATACTTTGTACCTAAATGCCAAGAAACTAATATAATAAATATTAGAAGAAGCTTAAAATTTGACATCTAGATTTAATGAAACCTTCTATATACTTTTTGTTGCGAAGCATTCTCATTAAAAAAGTTTTTAAAATTCATCGCCTTTTTCTGGAAGAAGTAAAACACTACATTATAAATATATTAACACAAACCCTTTGGGGATGAATATTTATATTTATATTTATATTTATATTTATATTTATATTTATATTTATATTTATATTTATATTTATATTTATATTTATTTCATGACAGATTCTGAAAAAAAAAATTCCCAAAAAATGGGAGTAAACTTTTACAAGAAATTCAAAGAGCCAAATGAAGACTTATTCCTAAATTTGAACAAAATTCACTATGGAATGCACTTCAGATTTAGTATCGCTTCTCTATAAAACCAATGCCAGAACACAAATCTGAGTGCATTTCGCTCAGTTAGGACATTTTGTTCATGTTACTTTATAGAAAATGAATCCATACTTTACCCGGAAAAGAGCTGAGACAGTCTGGAAAGAAGAACCCTTCTTCTTGCCTCCCTTCTTGCCGCCACCACCACCACCACTAGCCTCTTAAAATGAAAAAAATAGTTTTTTAATATACCCATATAACCTTTTTTGCTATATCTTTACATATCCGAATTGTTGAAAAAGAAAATTTAGAAAAATAACCTGCTTCTCCTCCACCATAAGAAGCAAAGAGTAAAGCCAGCGTCTTCACAGATGATTTCTGGTACAGCCCAATGACAGTTTCATTCAGAGGGTCCTTGTTCTTCTCCAGCCACCCAGTGATGTTGTAATCCACTGTGCCAGCATAGTGCACCAGGGAGAAGTGGGCCTCAGCCTTGCCTTTGGCAGGCTTGGGCTTCTGGAAGTTGCTGGACTTGCCCAGGTGCTGGTCATAGAGCTTGTTCTTGAAAGAGGTGTCAGTTGCCTTGGGGAACATGCACTCCTCTTCCAGGATGGAGAAGATGCCCATGGGCTGGAAGATAGTTCAATAAACAAGAGAGAATGCCAGTAGAATATATGATTATGGCTTGGTCTCATAGCGAATGTAGTAAAAGACAGGAAGCTGAAAAATAAACTTTGCCATGTAGAAAATTTATTTCTAAAAAAGAGTTTAAAAGATTCACCTGCTTGATTTGCACTTTGGCATCGTGATTCAGAATGTTTTCTATGCCAATGACGATGTTAAAGTTCATGAGGAGAAAGAATATTTTAAAGTTTTTTTCACAAATGTGTCCATCACATATTAACTTGTGTATTTGAATTTTCAATCAGCGCCTCAAATTATAAGGAACTACAAGAAATCTCGGTTTCTTCCTCTCAGAGGTCAGACACTGTACTTGCTTTGGTGTGAACCATATAGAACCATTACAGATAACTGTATTAATTTCCAGATAACTTTATTCTAGAGTCCGAAGAAAATGTTTTCTATTTACTTTAGAAACTGCCCTGTGCTTTTGAAGATAATATCCTTTAGCCAAACAAATGAGATGCCTTCCATGCAGAGAATCTGTGAGAATTACTTCTATAGTTTTCAGTGGACTTTCTAATATCTATAATGCATAATTAGCAATAGTACAGGTCAAGATGTATTTCTGCACTTAAAACCAAATACAAGAATCCAACTACTGGAAATTTAAAGCAATGAGATCTTGAATTAAAAACATACCTTCTCAATGAGCTCAATGCAGGCAGCCAGGTCCATGCCAAAGTCAATGAACTCCCATTCAATGCCCTCCTTCTTGTACTCCTCCTGCTCCAGCACGAACATGTGGTGGTTGAAGAACTGTTGCAGTTTCTCATTGGTGAAGTTGATGCACAGCTGCTCCAGGCTGTTGAACTGCCCAGTGGAAAAAACCACAACAAACCCTCATCAGTATGCAAAATTCTTCATCATTCTCCTCCACCCTTTATAAATATCCCCAGTCAAAACACAACTGTATTACCAGGACGTCACCATAACAGAACTTATATGCAGCTCCAGAAAGAAATACCGGTATAATGAAAATCAGGGATTTTTTTCAGAGCAGATTTTTTTAGTGAATCTGATAAAATTAATAAAATACTTTGGCATTTTTTTTATTCACCAAGCAAGATGAGTGCATGCTCTTGTCTCCAAATTGAAAACCCTTGATATCTCTAATTAAGCACCTAGCTAATAATTTCTTGGTTCTTTAAACATTTTGAACATCCTTAACTCATTATATATTTGGAAATGCATCTCCTAGCTCTGCTACAGAAGCTCTTTTATAAATTTATTGGAATTATTTTGGGTCATTTAATCCTTAACATTAAACTCAAACAGTTGTATTATTACAACATATAAAATTCTATTTGCTGCTTCTGCACAAACAACATGACTCTGTGCTTGTACTGATGGAGCTTTTGAGGATTTTGTTTTCTCCTAGAGAAGAAAATGAGTTGATTTTTTTCCTACGTAAAATCACAAATGACTAGCATGTTAAATATTCAGAGAAGTATTACTTACAAGTCCTCTGATATAACCATCCTTCCTTTCAAGAGCAGCCCTCAAACCTAAAATCTTACTTACATCAAAGATCTCAAAGCCAGCAATGTCCAGGACACCAATGAAGTACTGCCTGGGCTGCTTCGTGTCCAGCTGTTCGTTGATACGAACAACCATCCACAGGAACATCTTCTCATAGACAGCCTTTGCCAGGGCACCCACTGAATTGTATACCTAAACCAAAGGAGAATGAAGTGGGAAAAATACAATTTACAGAGCAAATAGTAAGTGATTCAAGTCAGAGGTTCCCAGTCACCAAGTGGTTGTTGTTACCTGCTGCACAGTTTGGCCCTTGGTCACGTATTCATTCCCCACCTTGACTCGGGGGTAGCAGAGGGCCTTGAGCAGGTCTGCTGAGTTCAGACCCATCAGGTAGGCAGCCTTGTCAGCAACTAAGTACAAGAACAAGGAGATTTAAATAAAGGATAGCAAGACATGCAGCACTTTGAGTGATGAACCCTTCGCAAAACAGCTGCAATATTTAATGTTCTTGTGATCAAATTTTGCTTACTGGCTCTCAGAGGAACCATGACATAATTATTCAATTGAAATCATCTTTGCATTGAATGTTTTATATCTAAAGAGTATATTTGCCTTTAAAAATCTTCACAGAAACTTCTAGAAACAATGTATTTATGAAAAATTATTCCAGGAATTCATGAGTAATTTTGCCCTAAAAAGTGATTTAAGAAGTAGAAGTTCTATAATGAAATAAAATACCTTTATTTTCTTTAAGTATCAAGCAGAAACAAGTTTTTTTCAAAAAAATCTTTTCTTTTTCAGTGGGTCTCAGCACATAAGCAAGTTATGCTGATTCAGAATGGTAGCTCAGGAGAGATTTTTGGACATATATGCAGTCGGTAGTGCAGATAATGATGAGTGGTAATTGAAGAAAGAGTGCATTTTGGATGACAGTTTCATACCTATGCACCATCTCACCTAAACACATTTCTACTCCATCTTCCAAATTTTATTATTTATTACACATATTTATTATTGCCACTTCTTTTTCTAACAGGTCAGTCAAAGATTTTGCTGATACCTTCTGTGCCATCAGGCTCTGCCTGCTCCTCTCGTTGCTTCTGCTTGAACTTCAGGTTCCCATAGTGCATGACAGCCCCTGTCAGCTTGTAGATGGCTGTTTTCTCATCAGCACTGAAGCCCAGGATGTCAATGGCACTCTGAAAAAGGAACAGTAAAGTAAAACATTTGTCTGGGAGATTCCAATTGTTGCAATACTCTGAATTGCTACTTACATCTGTAGCCATCAACTCCTCCTGGTCATTAATGCTGGCAACAGTGATCTCGCCTTGACTCACAAACTGGTAGTCATAGGGGTTGGTGGTGATGAGGAGCATGTCTGAAAATAAAAGGATGGGTCATGTAGGCTTAGTTTAGCCTACAAGTAACAGTGTGAGCAGAAACTAAGCAATCTTCCTTCAAGTTAGTAATTCTTCCTACCAATTAGCTCCGGCTTCTTGTTGGACATGATCTGATAAAAGATGTGGTAGCTCCTTTCTGCCTTGAGCTGGAAAGTGACTCTGGACTTCTCCAGCAGATCTGGAGGGAAAATTTGGTTAGAAACAAGAAGAAATAGCAAAAGAAAAAGAAAAGAGAGAAGATGGGAAGAAAACAGGGAAGGCAGTATAGATGATGTTGTATGGATGGGGGAATGGATGGATTGGGAACTGCTGTGAAGTGTCTTACATGTTTCGATATCTGCAGAAGCCAGTTTTCCTGTGGCACCAAAATGGATTCTGATGAATTTGCCCTTTAAAGGAATAAAAGTGTTTTAAGATGTACAACATAGAAACTATATCTGAAATAAAGAAGTTGGTACAAGTTTTCTACTTAGAGACATTTTCTTAAAATCTCTGTATTTGCACCATAACATAAAGGTATCTTTTTCATTTTTGACCATGAAAATAATCAGCAGTGGCAAAACTGTATTTTAAGTATGCTGAGTGTACAAATGAGAAGGAATGTGTGAAATTCATTCAACAAATTATTCTAACTATATCCCTGCATACAGACAGGAGTTACCTTAATGATATGGAAATATCAATTTAAGTAGTTGAGCTGCTTATATCTGAATTGTGATCTAATAAACAACTTCATTTCTGATTAATTAAATCTGAAATACAGCAAATATTCAATTAGAAAATCTCTTTCTCTTTCTTTCTTTCTTTCTTTCTCTCTCTCTCTCTTTCTTTCATCTCTCCTAGCCTCATTCCCTTTTTTCCTGCAATTTATCTGTCTCTTAGAAAATAAGTATAAAGTAAAAATAAAGAGAGCTCTTTTTTAACATTACAGTATGTTCTAGGAGAAACACCACATAACATGGTATTATTTGCATTTTAATCTAAAACAGAAATAATTTTTTGTGTTGTGAAATCTGGAAAATGATCTTTAGTATAAGCGGCAAAGCTGTGGTAAGAAATTTCAGTTTTACTCTTGAAAACATGATGGCTGAACAGAAAACAATACTGACATAAACTCCTGTTTACTATGTTACAGGAATTATTTTGTTAATCAACTCACAAAGCGTGAGGAGTTGTCGTTCCTCACAGTCTTGGCATTTCCAAAGGCCTCCAGCAGTGGGTTGGCGCTGATGATTTGATCCTCAAGCGTTCCCTGCAGGGTGATAATCAGTGCTAGTTATCCTTTCCAAAAATCATGTCAGGAAGAAAGGAAAGCATTGATCCCAACATGTATCTACTAAATTACCTGCATTTTGCCTGATGATTGTTCTTCCTTTTTCTTGTCTCCACTGGCTGCAATTGTTGCAAAGTACTGGATGACACGCTTGGTGTTCACAGTCTTCCCGGCCCCGGATTCTCCGCTGCCAAAGCCAAGAGAGAAGCAGAGGGTGCGTGGTCAGGCAGGAGGGGCCCTGGCACCGGGCAGCCCCGCAGGGACCCGCGCAGGGGGGGTACCTACGTGATCAGGATGGACTGGTTCTCACGATCTGTGAACAAGGCAGAAACACAGTACTTAAAACTCAGTGAACAACAGAGGAAGAATGAAACATAGTCAGGTAAGTCTAATCTTTTGCCTGATGTCAGCTGCACTTAAACAAGTGAAGCACATCACTGAGTGCAGAGATATCTTTCATTTAAAAGAGTAGAAAGAACACTATGAAGATAGCAAACTCCAACAGATGCATATGTCAGATCCAAGAAAACTTTGAAAAAGTCTCTTCACTTTGCTGAGATAGGGTATCCCTTAAAAGAATATAGTGGTCCAATGCCTCTGAGACTAGACAGAGCCACTCACCAGTCAGCATGAACTGATAGGCATTGTCAGAGATGGAGAAGATGTGTGGAGGGGCCTCCTGGCGCTTCTTGCCTCGGTAGGCCAACACCACCTCGGGGTTGTACACCGGCAGCCACTTGTAGGGGTTGACAGTGACGCAGAAGAGACCCGAGTAGGTCTGCAAGGAAGGGACACAGCACGTTGCCTTGCCCTGAGCCTGGCCCAGCAGCTCTTGAGGCTGCCCAGAGGAAGCTGCTGCTGCCACTTACGTAGATCATCCAGGCTGCGTAACGCTCTTTGAGGTTGTACAGCACAGCGGGTTCGTGCAGGTGGGTCATCATGGCCATGTCCTCGATTTTGTCATACTTGGGAGGGTTCATGGAGAAGATTTGATCTTCTTTCACAGTCAGGGTCTGTCAGAGGAAGAAGGATACACATGTCAGCTAAAAATCCAGAGTGGGGATCAAATGATTTCTTTGACTCTTATTTTTGACTCACCTCTCCCCCTTCAGTCTTGACAGTGACTTTGCCTGATTCCTTGCTCGTGATTGTCCCTTTCACAAAGGATTCCTTTGCATGTACCACGAAGACAGATGTCTTGGCATCAAAAGGTTTGTTCTGGGCTGCAATTCTCTCCTTCTCTGACTTTCGGAGGTAAGGAGCCGCCTCCCCAAAGATGGCCATCTCCGCGTCCGTAGACATGGCTGCGGTTTATGGAGGGGCTTGTCCGCAGAGAACACTGTGGAAGAGCAGATATGTTACTCAAATTTGCCAGAAAGTAAGCACTTGTTAGGAGAAGAAAAGAGAAGTTGTGGAGAAAAAGAAACTATATTAATACAGCTTGTGGCCTTTTGGAAGGAATTGCGAATTTTTGCATTGGTGCAATTCAATATTTTTGGAAACGGTCAAAATTATATTTAGGGAGATTATTTGGCCTTTACTGAAATCACATTTAAATAATTTATAGATACTTAGAATTCAACTATTTAGACACTGTACTATGGAATTAAGAACCTCAAAAATCTCTTCAACTGCTGAACCACACTTAAAATTAGTTTGGAAATATTATAATGCTCTTTTCTCACAATTGATAGTTTTTTACAAAGATCAGAATGCTCATACTCCACTGTCTGAACTGCACACTGAAAACTCTAGCTTCTTAATGACTCAGTTTCAGTATTTACAACCTTTTTATAATGGCATTAATAATAAAATTTTCTCTAATTTATTGACTGCTTGAATACAGGCATAAATTGCAACATGACTGTCTAAGATTAGTGCTGTTCAAACCACACTGAGATAGCTCCTTTTCCAGTACTTTCTTTTGTTTTTTAAAAATTAGTAGAATTTTAGAGAAAAACAAGGTTCAATGACTTAAAGCTGTGATGAAGTAAGGAATTTAAAGCCTGAATTAATTTATCTGAAATATATTTTTCTTTCCTCTGCCCTGAGGGAAAAAAAAAAGCAAAACCAAACACTGGGCGGCTTAGGAAAACATTTAAATATCTCTTTCTGTATAGAGTTAGGTACCTGATATTGACACAACATTTAATCTTGTGTTTATTTTACTAAAATGAGAAAACATAACATGATATTTCTTTGTTTGTCTCTGGAGGAACAGGTAGTGGCTTCCAGAGGAGGGAGGCTGCGTCTTCCATTTCTTGTGAGGTAGAAAACAAGCAGAGCAGAGAATAAAGGGCAGCATTGCCTTTTACAGAGGTGACAATCAGAGCTTGGTTTGTTATGTTACAGCTGTTACTGCTGTAGTGATTCCATGGCAAATTTCAGACAAAATATCTCATTACATATGCTGCAAAAAAATGCTGAATTTTGCAGTTTTCCTACTGTATTCTTAGTTCAGTTACACAGCAGTGATGGGAAGGAAGTGCACCTCACTCCCTGTTAGGTGAGTTAAGCAGAAGTGAATAATGTCCCCTTGGGGACTTTCTGGCCTGCCATGAGTATTCAGAGACTTCAAACACAGCTCCTTAAAGACTGGACCAGATGACCTTATGAGATCCCTTACAACCTAGACTGTTCTATGATTCAATAATTCACTTGAAAACCATACCAACCTTCAGCATCCCACCACCTTCTACTGTGACTACAGTGGATTTAAGAATATACAGTGAAGCAGTGACCATTCACTCAGCCATACACACACCCCACCCAAAAGGATCTGTCTCTGTTCCTATAAATTGGTAAATCAGCTTCTTACCTCTCGTGACACCAGATGTGTGGCTTGTGAGCTGGCAGCTGATCAGTGCTGTAAAACAGAAATGACAATTCCCAAATTGCTGCTGCACAAAAATCAAGACTGAAAACATGCAGGTAGGTGCCTTGAAAACAGATTTGTAATGGAGTCCCCTCCTGCACAGGAGCGCCAGAGGCAGCAGGAATGTGGGGGCACATTAGGCTGCCATCCCCTTCTTGGCAGCCTGCAGACCCCATCCCTTACCTTGGAGCTTTCTGTGGAGCCAGGGCAGACGTGTTGCAGGGACATTTTATACGATCTCGCCTGCAGATGCTCCAGATGCCTCCTCTTTCTTCGGTCAAAAATATTTTGGCAAACCCTCTCTGGCTAAGCATTGTCTGGCAAACTGAACTAAGGGCATAATTGTCATTTGACATGAGTAGATATAATTAGAAAATTTTGATGTCTTGGTGGCTATATGAATACATCTCCTATAAATAATGTGACAGGAGTGTTAAGGAGGGAATCTGGACTAGTTGAAGCACTTAAAGAACTTGGATTCAGGACTTATGGATTCTATTGCTGGCTTTCCCACCGACTCACTGCACGACCTGGGATGGATTGCTTGGTATGTCTGTGCTGCAGCTACCCCAGCTGTACAATGGGAATGTCAGCTTTTATCTTTCCCTTGTGATGGTGTGAATCTTTTAAGAAATGCCTTAGAGGAATACATTGGGCAAGCCACTAAGGGGAAGTAAGTATTATGAAAAGCATTTGGCGGATGTGCTGGTAAGATTCTGAAAGCAGAGGAACAATCTCTGTGATAGTGTGATAGTGCTGGTGCCTGAGAGTGAAGACAGGGCAAGATTTTGTCACAGAAATAAGAGCCTGGGGTGTAGCTGAACTACTGGGGTAGGTCTCAGAGAGTGATGTGAGGTCACTTCTGATACATGAAAAGGAGCATACCTACATTAGTGCAGATATACCCATTTGTGCACTTGAAATTGCAAAAGAAGTGGAAGATTCTCCAAGAAAGAATAATAAGCCTGTGCATGAATTTGTGCTAAGGTGAGTATTGTAAGATGTGCTGTGATTTCTGCTATGCAGATCAGTGCAGCTCAAAAATAGATGATTTTTTCTTTTCTTGGTGATGTTTTAATTAATCAAAAAGCACCCATATCCAGGACAGGACCTCAGTTACTTCTTATATCTTTTTTTCCAAGTTTGACCTGTCAATCTGTACCATAAATAAAAGAAATCTTGAGGTAAAGATTTGGGCTTGTAGAAGTCTATGGCATTTGAATACCCATAGTTCTTTCAACAAGGAGCATCAGGTTTGGTGTTGTTGGCAAACTTGCTGAGGATGTCCCTGAATCCACTGCTCCTGTTGGCTAAAGAGATATTAAACACCTCTGGTTTTGTTTCCCCTTCTACAGTGGCAACTTCACCAGACAGCCACAACTTCTTAAGTATAACGTATAGTGGCTTAGCCATTTCCTCTGCCCGTTCCCTCAGGACCTGTGGATGGATCTTATCAGGACCCATGGACTTGTGCACCTCTAAGTTCCTTAAACGGTCTCAGACCTGATCTTCTCCTACAGTGGGTGGTTCTTCATTCTCCCAGTTCCTGACTTTGCCTTCTGCAAATTGGATGATGTGGCTTAAGCACTTGCTGGTTAATACAGAGGCAAAAACCAAATTGAGTACCTCAGCTTTCTCTAGATCCCAGGTAATGAGGTGACCCCATTTCTTCCAGAGGAGGCCCTAATTCTCCTGTCTTCCTTTTATCACCAACATTCCTACAGAAGCTTTTCTTGTTGCTTTTGATGTCCCTGGCCAAATTTAATTCTATCACAGCCTTAGCTTTCCTCTGCTCTTTGGCTGCTTGGACAATTTCTCTATATTCTTCACAGGCTACCTGTTCCTGCTCCCACCCTCTGTAGGCTTTCTTTTTGCATTTGAGTTCATCCACGAGCTCCTTGTTCATCCATGCACACTTCCTGGCATTTTTAACTGACTTCCTCTTTGCTGGGATGCATCACTCCTGAGTTGTCCTTGAAAAGTCCAAAGTCTCCTGGAGTCCAGGGCAGTGAGCTTGTTGTGTCCCCTCCTCGCTGCCCCAAAGGATCTCTAACCCCACCATTTCATGGTCCCTGCAGTCAAAGCTGATCTTGAGCTTCACATTCCCCACCAGCTCCTCCTTGTTGGTGATAACAAGGTCCAACACAACCCTCCTCCATATTGGCTCCTCTGTCGCTTGGAGTAGAAGTTACCATCACAAGAAAGTCCTGGAGCAGTCAGAGTGGTTCCAAAGGAGGACTAAGAACTGGAACACCCCTCCTATGAAGAAAAGCTGAGCTACTTCACACAATCATAGAATCATTATGGTTGGGAAAAGCCTCCAAGCTCACAGAATCCAACCTTTGACCAAACAGCACCACCACCCTCACTGAACCACAGCAGTAATTGCCATGTCCAGTCATTGGGGTTGTTCAGCCTGGAGATGAGAAATGTTCAAGGACATCTTCTTGAGGCCCTTCAATACTTGTGGGGGCTTGTAAGAAAGACAGAGCAAAGAATTTAAAGCACAAGATGCACCAGTTGTAAGCTGAAAAAAATGTAGATTTCAGATAGATGTGATAGATAGAAATATTTTATGATGAACCCAGGGATGGGATTCCCAGAGAAGTAACAAATGTGCCACTACTGGAGGCTGGGTTTGTTGGGGTTCCGACCATTATCCTTGAGGTCTTCTCTGAGTAGCTGCTGTTGCCTTTCTGTTAAGTCCTGCTCTCAGTGGCATGTAGCAAGCCTGTCTTATGCAGTGCTGTCAGGCTGGGACCTAAGGTAGCTTCTCACATGAGAGTCAGGCTGTGAGAAAGAATTCCTTCCTTGCTCCCTAATCTCCTCTCAGTAGTCAGATGACATTTTCTCTAGCTGCAAATCAAGTTTTATTTAGTCAAAGGCCAAGGGTGTTTGGTCAGTGTTCCCAGAAGGACACAACTGTCACCTGTGTTATGTAGCTATATATTATATGTTATTCTGCTATGTGTCTTTCCACAGCTATATAGCAGAATAGATCCATCTATATTCTTTGAGAAAAAATTTGTGAAGTTATTGCAGTAAAGGTGAAGTAAAACTATGCTCAATATGTAAAATTCCCAATTTTACTTTAGGAAAAAATACAGTACTGTGTACATTTCAATATAACATCCATAACTATGATATGCAACATCCTACAATATCTAAATGTAAGTATATATGGATATTCACCTCTAATTCTTACTGCTTTACAGTTTTTTTGTGCATGAGCAACATACTCTTTGCCAGTATATTTCACAGTCCTAAACTCAAGTGACACCCTCTATCATTACAGAGTTAGAGTGGTTTTCTGTCTTTTCAAATATTCAGAATATTTTTATAATCTTTTTACTGAATTGTGTTCTTAAATTCATATTACAGGCAGTTGTGGTTTTTTTCCTGATTGATTGTTTTTCATTGTCCAAAG